CAAATGGCTAGGATCGATATACAGTTACATTCTCTTAATGAATAGAGGGATTTGTTCTATTGGTGTTTGTAAGTAGGATATCATGTCTGCATCTTGTACAGCAATTAACCACTAGGAAGAATGTATACAATGTGTTAATTATTGAAACTGTCCTACCAGTTTGGTTTGAAACTGTCTCATTGCTCTTTCTCAATAAATTTATGAAAAAAAATTAAAAAATAAAGATACTATAGATAAAAAAGAAAAAGAAAATAACAGAATAAGGAAAAAATACCATAAAAGAAAATAAAATATAAAAAGAATACTGCAGAAAAGAGGCAAGACACTTGAACATCTATTGAACAAAACATTATATTTAAATGAGGAAAAAATAAAAAATAAATAAATGGGAAAAAAGGATCTTATGGGCTTATTAGACAGCCAGAAAATTCATTGAATTCAAAATGAAAATATAAACCATACCCAGTAAGAAGATACTATGAAAACAACCTGACCAATTTCAACATGATATGGAACAGAAAGAATTCTCAATACACTGCACATACAGAGTAAACAGTAAAAATACTGCTTTTGGAAAATTAGTTGTAATTATCTACTAAAAATAAAGAGGAACCCATAGTCTGTCATTCAGAAACCCAATTCCTAGATATTTATGGGAAATTTGTATAGGTGGCCACCCAAACATGTCTACAATGTCTTTAGGAACACAGTTATTCAAAATAAAGATGGTACACACTCAACTATAAGATAAATAGCTCAGTATATTCACAAAATAATAGTAGAATTGAATTCCATGAGCTTCACCTACACGTAATAATATAGAAAAATTCAGAAACAATATTAAGTGATAAATAACAAGAACACAAAAATGTGCACATACAACACATTTTGTGTAACTGTATTTAGAAAAATTTAGGGAACATAATACAATTAGCAACAGTTATAAACGTTAAAAGTTACATTTGAAAGAGACTAAGAGGAAAGGCTTTAAAAGGTACATGTAAGAGGTTTAAGGGGTGGCTATTAAGGTTTTTCTTTTTCTAACAGTTCATATGGATGTATAATTTCTGTTTTTGTATGTACAGTAGATAAAATATAGTAAAATGTTTACTGCAAAGGGGAATATCACAGAAAGTAAATAAAGTGAAGCTAGGGAACACAGGTTGTATTGGAAACTGAGTTTATATGAATGTGTGTTGAATAAAGAAACACAAATAACCAATATAAGATCAACCATGGTGGCGGACACCTGTAATCTCACAACTAGAGAGGCTAAGGCAGGAGGGTCATTAGCCTAGGCTACATAGTGAGATCAGAGACAGCCTGAACTACATAGCAGCACCCTTTCTCAAGAAGATAAAATTAAAAAATGTCCAATACACATTGTCTTGATGTACTCTCTTCCTATATTGTTGCACTTTGGTCTTCAATCCCCTGAGCTCTAATGATTCTGCAATCCTTCATCTCTGCCTACAGAATAACTGAGACTAAATGCACGCTCCACAGGGACTGCTTCAAGACATTTTAAAGGCGGATGAGCATATGAACAGAGCTAAGGAAAATGCACAGAAATTTGATTCTCAGAAGTAAAATTATAAAGAAAATAATAGCAAAACAAACATGAAATTTCAGATAGAAAAAAAGGATATTATACACTAACCTTTGCAAAGGACTCCTCCGTCCTCTCCAATTGCTCTTCTCTATCCTTAGAGTCCTGTAAACTCGGACTGAAGGCCATGAGGTCTGTCTTGGGTGGGCCCTCCCCAGAGCACACCCTCTGTCCTCTCTGCTGCGAGTACGACCAGCTCCCCACCGCGCTCGAGCACACCAGTGTGGGCTTCACGGGACCACACGCGCCTTCAGTGGGCACCGCTGCGCAGCGCACCGCCGAATACAGTAGCAGCGTGAGCACCAACAGGCTAGACACCGCGCAGATGGCGATGATCAGGTACACGTTCACATCCACCAAGGCCGTTTCTGAGCCTGACATGCTCACAAATGTTCGCGACGAGGTCTTTGGTGTCTGGGCACTCTCCACCAGTGATACCAACACGGTGGCAGTGGCCGTTAACACAGGCTCCCCATGGTCCTTCACCAACACCAGCAGGCACTGACGGGGTGCGTCCTCCTCGTCCAGGGCACGCGTGGTGCTGATCTCTCCTGTGTACAGCCCCACACGAAACAGGCTGCGTGCACCACCCGATACTGGCAGCAACTCATAGGCCAGCCACGCATTGTATCCAGAGTCAGCATCCACTGCGCGCACCTTCGTTACCACGTGACCTGCACTCACTGATCGAGACATCAATTCGCTCACAGTGTGCCCAGCGCTGCCCGCCCCAATCCCCAGCAGCGCGGGCGCATTGTCGTTTTCATCCAGCACGAACACCTGCAGAGTCACGTTGCTCCCCAGAACAGGCACTCCAGAGTCCCGCGCACTCACCTGGAACTGCAGCAGCTCCAGCTCCTCGTGGTCCAGCGGCTGCAGCACGAACACCTTGCCGCTCTCCGCGTGCACAGACACGTAGCTCGACAGCGCGCGCTCGCCCACGCGCCGCTCCACCAGCGAGTAGGACACCAGCGCGTTCTCCTGCGCGTCCGCGTCGCGCGCACACACAGTGAAGATGTGGGAGCCAGGCGGGTTGTTCTCCTTCACGAACACCGTGTACTCGGGCTGCGCGAACACGGGCGCGTTGTCGTTCACGTCGGCCACCTCCACGGACACGGTGGCAGAGGCTGAAAGTGAGGGCGAGCCCCCATCCTGCGCGGTTACCACCACCTGATAGAGAGAAATGCTCTCTCGATCTAGGTTGCTGTCCAGAGCCAGCGAATAGTAATTCTTATAGGTGGACACGAGTTTGAAGGGGGTATGTGGAGTCAAGAAGCAGGTCACCTGTCCGTTGATACCAGAGTCACGGTCGGACACACTGAGCAAAGCGATGACAGTGCCCAGTGGTGCATTTTCTTTTATTGGAAGTGACACAGACTTGAATTGCAAGTCTGGGACATTATCGTTGGTGTCTTCTACTTCTACAATAACACTACAATGGCCAGAGAGAGGAAGCTGTCCCTTATCAATAGCCTCTACGAGTATTTCATAGGATTTGCATTCTTCAAAATCAATATTACCCTTTACAATAATTTCCCCTGTATATGGGTTCATGTGAAACTTGGATGCCACAGTTGGGGAAATATCAGTCGAAAATGAAAAACAAATTTCCCCATTCAAGCCTTCATCTAAATCCGAAGCGTTGACTTTAATTACCATCGTTCCATTCGGGACATTTTCTGGCAATCTTACCGTATAAAGTGTCCTATCGAAAACTGGAGCATTATCATTAGCATCCAGTACCGTGATGAGTATCTGAACGGTGCCAGTCAGTTCAGGTTTGCCTCCATCAGTGACGGTGAGCTCTAAAAATATCTCTGGAATTTCTTCTCGATCTAAAGATTTCCGTAATACAAGCCCCAGACCTTTTATCCGCCTGTCATCTGATGGCTTTTCCAGCGAAAAATATTCATTGGGGCTCAGTCTGTAAGTTAGCAGAGCATTGGCTCCGACGTCTGCATCTGATGCGCCCTCTAGTGGTAACCGAGTATCAAGAGGCCTAGATTCCGCGATGAACAGACTCTTTTGTGTAGCTGGGAACACAGGCGGGTTGTCATTAATGTCCTTCACCTCCACCTCCACGTGGAAAACCCGCAACGGTCTGTCCACGATCACCTCCAGGTGGATGCTGCACTCCGCGCTCCG